TGGAAACTACCATTATGCCTAAAATCTGAGAACTCTCATGTTCCTGACTTGTGATTCATCTAAGAGCCAACTCTGGCCCGATTAGTGTTAAATACCACCCTTTCTATGAGGCCATTCTTGCCTAAGAGCATAACCTGTAACACCTGCAATAAAAACAGAAGTTGCTGGAAAAGCTCAGCGGGTCTGGCAGCATCCGGGAAGAGAAATCAGAGTTAACGTTTCAGGTCTGGTGACGCTTCCTCAGAACTAGAACTTTAACACCTGCAACCCAGACCTGTAACACCCCTGTTTAAGAAGGAAGGGAAGACGGGAAACCATAGGCCAGTTATCCTGACCTCATTCATTGGTAAGATTTTAAGAGTCCATTATTAAGGATGAGATTGCAGAGTAGTTGGAAGTGCATGGTAAAATAGGGCTGAGTCAGCATGGTTTCATCAATGCCTGACAAATCTGTTAGAATTCTTTGAAGTCTTAATGCGCAAGTTAGACAAAGGAGAGCCAGTGGATGTGATTTATTTGGATTTGCAGACAGCCTTTGATAAGGTGCTGTGCAGGAGGCTGCTAAATACAGTAAGAGCCCATGGTGTTAGGGGCAAGGTACTGGCATGGATAGGGGATTGGCTGACTGGCAGAAGGCAGAGGGTGTGTATTAAGGGGTCATTTTCAAGGTTGGCAGCTGGTTAAGATTGGAGATCCCCAGGGACCACAACATTCATGTTATACATGAACAATCTGCATGAAGGACCTGAGGGCATTGTTGCAAAGTTTGCAGATGATACAAAGTTAAATGGAGGTACGGGTAACGTTGAGTAAGCGGGGAGACTGCAGAAGGTCTTGGACAGGCTAAGCGAGTGGGCAAAGGAGTGGCAGATGGAATACAACGTCAGAATGTGTGAGGTATGCACACATTCTGGTAGAGGCATAAGCTAGTTTCTAAATGAGGAAAGTCTTTGGAAATCTGAACCACAAAGGGACTTGGGAGTCCTAGTTCAGGATCCTCTTAAAGTTAACATGCAGGTTCAGTTGGCAGTTAGGAAGGCAAATGCAATGCTAGCATTTGTTTGAAGACTGCTAGAATGCAAGAGCAGGGATATACTGCTGAGGCTGTATAAGGCTCTGGTCAGACTGCATTTGGAATATTATGAGCACTTTTGGGCTCCATATCAAAGGAAGGACGTGCTGGTGGTGGAGGGGTTCAGAGGAGGTTTACAAGAATGATCCCAGGGATGAAGGACTCATAATATGAGGAGCGTTTGAGGACTCTGGGTCTGTCTTCAATGGAGTTTAGAAGGATGAGGGAAGACTCTGATTGAAATTTACAGAATGCTGTGAAGCCTGGATACAGTGGACAAGGAGGAGATGTTTTCACTGGTAGGACAGACTAGAACCCGAGGGCACAGCCTCAGAGTGAAGGCACGACCCTTTAGGACTGAAATGAGGAGGAATTTCTTCAGCCAGAGGCTGGTGAATCTGTGGAACTCATTACTGCAGAAGGCTGTGGAGGGCAAGTCATTGAGTGCATTTAAGACAGAGATAGATAGGTTCTTGATTAGTAAAGGGATCAAGTGTTACGGGGAGAAAGCAGGAGAAACTTATCAGCCATGATCGAAGGCAGAGCAGACTCAAAGGCCTGAATGACCTAATTCTGCTCCCCTATCTTTTGGCCTTATGGTCTAACCAGAAAAGGTGCAGCAAATGTACTCTCTTAAAACTCAGCCTTAACTTTGTGCCTCTGTCTACGATTCTAACAACCTGTCTGGCATGAAGACTTGGATGTGTTGTAATTCCCTCTACTTTAATGTTGGTAAACCGTTCTTTTGACTCCTAGCCTTGTCTGTATCAACCTGACCAGGAGCTACCTCAGGCTAAACGCACAGGTCAGTTCACAAGCTGGAATTTCATCCTCACACCAAATCCAGAACTCATTTAAAAATTGCCCCTATCTCTCCCTACCACAGCCAGGACTTTAATCGATGCCTTTATTCTCTTGAGGATCAACCTCACCGACATTGTGTTGGCTTGCAGTATTCACAAGTTACAACTCACAGCTGCCATGTGTTAGATTTTATCAGCCTTCTGGATACAGGCTGGGGACCTCATAAAACTGGTGGCAGAAGGCATCCCAAATCTTCCCCAATATCTTCTTGCTGAGCTACTGACAATAGAGGAAACCCTGGAGATGGGCAGCCATGTAAGTCAATTAATTGACCAATGTTATCAGCATAGGGAGGGACACTCACCATGTGGATGCAGTGATTGTGGGAAGGTCAGCTGGGTGGATCTCATAGAATGTGAGTTCCCTGATTGGGGCTGTTAACCTGGTCCAATCAGGGAGCCCTGGCTGATAGATATAAACAGGAGTGTCAGAGGTTCTGTTCACTTTGAGAGCTGGCTCTGAGGGAGCTGGTTCAGTTCAAAGACTCTCCATGTGTAAAGAAAGGGTGACTTGTTGACAGGATCCCAATCTCTGTGGAGTTATTTCAGTGTGATGAAAGTGGGATGTAACCTTGGCTAATGCAGAACGTATATATGCCCAGAGAGAGAAAGAAGTTCCATCAATACGTTTACGGATGTAAAATTGTAATAATAACAGATCACAAGCCCCTGCTAAGTCTAGTCAAAGAGAACAAGGCAGTGCCACCCATAGTTTCAGGTTGAATTCAACGGTGGCCTGTCATTCTAATATATTTATTTACAATTTGAAACACTGTCCAGGAGGCTAAGTAACAAATGCGGATACATTGATCCACGTCCGACTGGCAGATACACCACCGGGGATAACGCCACCGGAA